GCAATCTCTGCCTTTTTCGGACCCACCACTGACACGAAGCGTGTGCAGGCTCGCTACGCTGACAGAACGCTGTCAACCATGAAGCCCCCTCGGCTTGTTTTTAGGAACTGTTTGAGAAACGAGCAATCTTCAAAAACTGCATCAGTATTCGATGGATTGCACTTTGATATAACTGTTGATGGGAACGTACAAGGGCTTGCCCATCTTTATGGTTCCTGAAACCGGACCTGGATCTGGCCACGCTATCCCTGACATCTCTGAGTAGTGTTGGGAGGGATTCCAGCCTGAAACCCCTGTGAGATACTGCTAGACATAGACAAAGCTTAGCTAGATGGACCAGTGATTTGACTCAATATAACACAACTTCCCAAGTCCACAGTCATAGGCAGTAATGATTCCAAATACCAGTAGCTGGTAGCCAATGGAAGGGAGAGTGCTGCTCTTGTGCTCGGATCCTGCTTGCCAGTTTCTTACAGAAATATGGTTGACCACCTGTGGGAACAGGATGCTGGAACAGATGCACAATTGGCCTAATCCAGTAAGCTCTCTTGAGGTTCTTCTCACACGGATGAATCTGGCATGTTTTCAGTGGTTGTCGCAGGGGATCTGTTGACAATTCCACACCCTTGTCACTCCCATTCATAAATAGATCATGCTCCTGTTATTGCCCATTGCTTTCTCACATTAGTAAATGGGATATGTCAGAGTGGAGAACCCTTATGGCCCATAGGGCTGTTTTGTCAAGCCACACGCACTGCCCTGCACCTTGACATCGTATATGATGTGCACGGCACTTTACAAGCCCCTGTGACTAGTTTTTGCACCACATGGGTAGAAAGCAGGTCACCTGATATCATTGTGACATCAGGTAACTGACAGAGAGGAGGCGCCATCCATCACTATTCATTCATTCCTTTTGCATGATTGAACCTAAGTTACCCTTCATGATCTGCTGGAGCTCCATTCGCAGGGTCTGGGTGGGGTGGCCCATGGAGTGGGGGCGGGGAAATCAGGCCTTGATCTAGTTGGTCCCATATGGTTTATTTGAATGGCTTGCTCATATAGGGGAAAGTACAATTGACTCCCTGCACTCCCTGCCTTGTATTCTTCATAATTATGCATAAGTGTGTGCAGGGCACAGAAGAACATTGCGTACTCATGCATCTGTGTGTACACATATTTATGCACATTCATGCACATCCACACACCTTGAAACTGATTGTGGAATACCAGTCTTGAATAACTCTAGAATCCCTCTGGTTTATTAATCAGGGAAAAAGTAAACCTCTTCAGTCTGTTTTACGTAGTTAATTAAGTAATTCGTTTTCCAAGGGCTGAAGAACGATTAACTCATGACTTCCTGCAACATTCAAAAGGGCTGTGGGTTTTTAAAGGGCTCCCTACACTTCATTTATGACATTTTTATCCCACACTTTTCTCCAAATACTTCAAGGAAGCCTCCATGGTGTGTCCCAATTTATCCCTGCTAATCCCCTGTGTATGGGCTCAACTGCAAGACAGCAAGGGGCCCAAAGTCATCCAGTGAATTTCCTCATCCTACACTCTAACACAAGGATGGGCAACATCAGGCCCAGAGAGCAAATATGCTCCCCTCTTGGGGACTATCTGCCATTTAGAACTCTCCCCATGTCACACACACACACACACACACACACACACACACACCACTAGCCTTGCTTCTTGCCCAAAGAGTTTTTGCCTGGCTGGAGGATAAACCTGAGCTCTGGTTGTGACTTTTGCTTGTCCAGACGGAAGACACAGAGAGAGGTGTAGTAGTACATGCAATGTACCTCTTTAACATTTTAGGCAGGGGTATCTCCCAGGCCATCCTGGATATACCAGGAATTGAACCTGGGACCTGCTGCAAGACAAAACACATACTCTTCCCCAAGTTTTGACCCTTTTCTATTAGACTTTTCCAGCCTGACCTGGAGATGTCAAACAGGGATCAAAGGAACCACAGCTCAGTATAAGAAACTTCCCTGTGTTACCACTTCCCAATATTATTATTTCTATAACTCAGGGATAGAGAATTTGCTTTGCATGCAGAAGGCCCCAGGTTATACCCAGGTAGGGCTGGGAATAAATCCTGCCTGGAGCCATGGAAAGCCCCTGCCAGTCAGGGTTGACAATACTGAGCTAGATGAGCCAGTAGTTACATTACAAGGCAGGTAGCTATTGAACCTGAGACCTTCTGCATGCAAAGCACGTGTTCTACCACTGAACCCTTCTGTAAGTAGAATGTGTGGGTTTTTCTGCCAAAAAAACCTCAACCCCAAACCTAAAACAGCAAAAGAATGTTTTGCATAGTAAAGCAAGCCCATTTTCTGTTTAGTTCAAAATCTTCACCCGTTTGTTCTTGTTCTTCTTCTGGTTGTTGTTCTTTTTAAAAGAAAATAATTTTAAGATTTTCCTATATATTGCATCTTTTAGAAATCCATGCAGCTCCGTGATCAGCGCTAATGTCATTAGGGGGAGGAGAAATTATCAAGAGAAATCAAATTTTCCAATGGCGTCCTGACGCCATTAAAATGCCAAACAATAAACTACCAGCCTGCAAATTAGATCAGTGGGAAAATATCAAACCCGTGGCGGGGGTCTCCAAAATCCATAATTGCATTTAACGCCTGGGCCTCCCAGGGGGGCCTCCACTAAAGATCATCACCGCGTCCTAGATGAGAAGCTATTGACGGAACAATAAAAATCGACAAGCTAACCAAATAAACACACGGGTAGGGCTTCATTAAATATTCATCCTGTGAAATACAAAAAAAAAAGGAGGGGGTGATGCAGCAATTGTGGCTTCCATCAATGCCTCCCCATTTGAAACACTCCAAACACACCCCACACACCCACACTGCTGTGGCATTTGGGGCTTCGACAGTGACAGCAATAACAACACTTTGCCCCAGAGGCCCATTGGTGGAGCAGAGGGGCTGAGGCAAGAAAGATGGGGAGGTGGGCTGTGTGGCAAGCAAGCAGTGCCCCCCAACCCAAATAATCCATGTTGTGGGCGGCAAACAAATGATTAACATTTTGGTAGCCCTGGCCCTGGGAAGATCTGACACTCCAAAGTCTTTAATTAAGCAATTAAAGCCCAATTTCCAACAAAGTCAACTTCTTTTATCTTGCTCTCTGACACACAAACATACTGTGAACACAGCTGCAACATCAGCAGCCCACCAGGAGCACAGTTAACCCATCAAGACTGTTTGTTTGACAAAGCAGGGTTGGGAAAGGGAAAGGGGAGCAAAAGTTGTATAAAGCAGGAGAACAACTGCACAGCAATTATTTTTTTTTAAGTTTACTTTAAAAACGAATTTTACTCTCAGAAATAAAAGGGCAGATTGGATCCTAATTGCCAGAATGCTGCATCCATTATGATCTGAGTGAAGTGGAGAGAGTTTACATGCACTTGTTATGTGATACGAGGTCACAAAGCTCATGGATAAAACAGCCATTACTAATCAGAAAGCCCAGACATAGCCCCTGAAGAAGTATGGTTAGAAGCCTCTCATTTACTGTAGCAGCTCTCACTTCTGAGAGCTGCTACAGTCACTCATGGAAAGCTCCCCTTCAGCCCTCTCTTGGATCACTTAAGTCAACCTCCCACAGTCCCTATGGTAGAGATGGGAAAGCTGTAACTTTCCAGATGATTCAGCCCCTTGGGCATTTTTTCCTGCCCCCGTTCCTGGTGTCCCAAATCCCTTCTGATTTTAGCAGCAGTGGCAAAAGGCAAAAGAATAAAAAAGGAGTGGAGGTTTGACTTGCTCTCTGGTTATCAGAGGCATCAGACTCCCTATCCTCAGCTGATCTGCACATATCAGCTGAGCAGGGGGAATGTGTGCTGTGTGTGTCATGTTAATTATCCCAGTACCATACCCTCCTGATTCTGATAGGACCGAATTTTGTGAGTTGGATCTAACCATGGATTAACCTTCCTAACATCCACACCAAAGAGAGAACAGGGTGGTTACCCACAGCAGAAAAGCACTCAAAATGGCTCAGGGAAGTAAGCCAGGCTCCATAAGGCTTGGCTTGTTGAGAGATGGAAGGCTCTGGTCAAACTCCAGATCCTAGGACATAATGAGATCCTTATGCAGGGGTGCAGACCTTCATGCATACCAAGGGAGGCTCCCATGGTGCCTTTGCTATGCAAAACCCCAACAATCAGGGCTTGCAAAGCTCAGAGCATGACACTATGCAACCTCTGATCACCAGCAGGTTGTTGGGGTTTATATACTGCCACAATCTGAGCTTTGCAAGCCTGGGCAACCAGGCGATTGCCAGCATGGCAAAGTGATATGCATGGGGCTTTGCAGATGGCACCCATCATCTGATCAAGAGTGACTGCAAGCCTCTTTCGGCTCAGCTGTGCCTTTACCTCTACCCCACCTGACATCACATATCCAGCCAGTATCTCACACAAACACCCTGTGGGCCAACTTTTCTAGGTGGGACAACTCAGCCATCAATCACGCAAAGCGACAATGATGCCAGGCTGACATGGGTGAGCAGCTGATTGTTGCAAATGTGCAGAGGGCCACATTGACTAGACAAACTCCAGTACAGGAATGGATACCTGCATGCAACCAGAAGCAATTGCCACAGAGAGGGACAGCAGATCCAACCCCCACCCCTGCCACTGCCAGCCCCCTGGGGCTTTGCCCACATCACTGCAACAGTGCTGTTGCCCTCACCGCTCTGCCCTTGCTGGTGATACCAGCAGGTGAGGGTACAGTTGTAAGGGTGAGGCGGTGGCAGCATGGTCACAATAGTAGGAGTGGAGAGGGAGTCTGGATCTGTGGGGGAGGCAGCCTCAGGAGCACAGGGGCAGCATCAGGATGTTTTGTCTGGAGCAGCAAAATGTCAGACCAGACTCTAGTAGCATCAAGTCCTACCTCTTAAAAACAGACAGATCCATTCAAGGGTTGAATTGGATGTCAGGCAAATGGATGCTTGCTCCAAGATTGGAAAATGGCTGTAGCTCAGTGGTAGAGCATCTGCTTTCCATGCAGAAGGTCCCAGGTTCAATCCCACTACACAGGGCTTGGAATTTTCCCTGATGAAACCTTCAAGAGCCACTGCCAGTCAGTGTGGGCAATACTGAACTAGATAGATCAATGGTCTAATTAGGCATAAAGCAGTAGTATCCTGTGCAGCTGTGTGGCCTCTTCCTGCCCTAACACTAAGCTTTGCATGCAGAAGGTCCCTGGTTCAGATGTGTTCAGTGTTGAGCTAAGCAATCTGGGGCTTGGTTCAATTGTGGGGAAGAAATGCAGCTGAGTGGTAGGGCATATGACTTTCTCCGCAGAAGGCCCAGGTCCAGTCCCAAATGGCATCTCTAGCTAGGCCTAGGAGAGTCCCTGACATGACAGCCTGGAGAACTGCTGCCAGTCATAGTCAGTTAGATGGACCAATGGGTCCAACTCAAGGTGCCCTACATTTCTGTGAACTTTGATGGAGGGGGTGACAGACACATAAAATCCAACATGGAAATACACAAGCAACCCATCCCAAATTTTGGAGCTTGTTGTTTTCTGGACTGTCCCCATTTCTTCTCCAAGAAGCTATCAGCAATGGTGCAGAGCAGGTAACAACTGCCCATCATCTCTTTTCCCTTCATCCCAGCCTCTCTGTTCTGTGTGTGCATGTGTGTTTCATGGAGACCCTGGAACTAGAAAGCAAAGAGGAAATGGCAGAATGGATAACAGGGAAACACCTTCCAGAGCCTTGTGCCTTTGACTACATATATACCATGCATTTAAAGCACATTTTTCTTTATCCCCAAGGACCCTGGAGACTGTAGTTTACCTCCCTATGGACCTATGGTTCCCAGTACCCTGAACAAACTACAATTCCTGGATTCTTTTTGAAGGGTGAATGTGTTTTAAGTGCTTGGTATGAATGCAGCCTAGGGTCTGAAGCAACCTATCTCCCCTCTTTCCCTTCTCTTTGTGGTTTGTGTGTGTGAAACACACTCTCACCCCCATACAGAGGGGGAGAAAGAGCGAAGTTTATGTAAATGACCAATGACAGCGTTATTGTGTGAGGAATATCAATGGAGTAATTACAGTTACATCGCTCCGTTGCTGCTGCCGCCGCCGCCGATCCGCCACTGAGCTGGTGTTAATTTTTCACACTGAGTCCCCAGGGAAAGATCCGAGCCCGCTCCTAAGAGCAGAGCTAATAATCGGAGCCTCAGAGCCACCGCCGCTGAAATCTGCCCCAAGGTCTTTCTGAGCAGACTGCTAAACGCTGCCTGTCTCCCCGGAGAGTGGAGGGAGAGAAATAAAATGATTAAAAAGTGCCAGATTGCCTTGGCAATCACTTGCCTTGACTGTCAGCCAAAAGACAAGATAAATCTCAGTGACTCTGTTCTACCCGCCCCCGCCCCCCTAAACCACTGTCTCCCTCTTCCGCATTCATGAGCTGGTGGGATAAAACACAAAGCCTCATCCTGGGCACATGGATGCTTCACCACAGCAACTGAGACCAGTGTGGAGGTTGTTTTCGTAGGCCCCAGAAGCCTGCTGGCTATTGGGGCAGCCCACAGTGGAACAGCCAAACATTGTTGTCACGTATTCACAGCAGGAATAAGCATGCAATCTGTTTCCTAAGCCATATTGTGGGCTTTTAAAACATTGCCTTTCAGTATATATATTTTTAAAATACAAAAATAAGGATTTTAAAAAGGGGGTGGGGAATCAGTCATCAGAGTGACTGCATGCCTTTCAAGGGAGGAAACTGCCTATACAGTGATACCTCGGGTTACATACGCTTCAGGTTACACACTCCGCTAACCCAGAAATAGTGCTTCAGGTTAAGAACTTTGCTTCAGGATGAGAACAGAAATCGTGCTCCGGCGGAGCAGCAGCAGCAGGAGGCCCCATTAGCTAAAGTGGTGTGGTGCTTCAGGTTAAGAACAGTTTCAGGTTAAGTACAGACCCCCGGAACGAATTAAGTACTTAACCTGAGGTGCCACTGTACTGAGTCAGGCTCTTGCTCCATCTAACTCTGCATTGTCTGCACTGACTGGCAGTGACTCTTTGGGGTTTCATCCAAAGTGATTGAACCTGGGACCTTCTGCTTGCAAAGCACATATCTGTCTACAGCCCCAATTTGACCAGGAAATCCTGGAATTACAGAAGCCATCGCAGCTTCCGGTTGGATGTCCTGTTTTCGGTGCCAAGCTCTCACACGAGTCAGCTGGCTCCTGCGAGAGATCAGTACCAAAAGACATGCATATTCTGCACAAAGGAAGGCACCCAAGTCAGAGTGCATGGAATTGGAGGAGAAGGAGCTACTGGTGGTGCAGGCCAGGCCACCCCAGCAAGGCCCTGAGGCCACACCTCCTCTGCCTGATGCAGCCACCATCAAAGAAGCAGCCAAGGAAGTCGAGGACAACAATGACAACAACATTGAAAAGGAGGAGGAGCTGGTGGGGTGCTCACAGAGGGGGCTGCTGTTGGTAATGGAAATGGGGGGCTGGAGCAGAGAAGCCCAAGCTGGCACACATGGGAGTGCAGCACCGAAAAGCATGCACCCCGGTTTTAATTGGTGAAATGTTGGAGGGTATGAAAGCAGAGAATACCACTGAACCGTGTTCCTTCATTATACTGTCAGACCCCTATGGGACATCTAGCTCAGTATTGCCTACACTGACTGGCAGGGATTCTCCAGGCTTCCAGCCTGGGAGACAATCATAGCCTTTCCTGGAGATGCCGTTGGGGATTGAACCTGGGACCTTCTGCATGTAAAGCAGTGCTCTAACACTGAGCTACTGCCCTTCCTCTGACATTGGGGCTTCCAGTTCTTGGAATGCAAAACTCTGGTTCACCCAGGCCAATGCCTGAGGAGGATATCTCTGGGCCAGGGAGCGGAGTCCACCAAAAGTGTTGTCTGGGGACAGTGGGTTGTCATGAAATCCAAGGCAAAAGCTATCTCTTCCCCTTTGGCAGAGGTAAGGAGGAACCATTTTCAGCCTGAGGGCCTATTATTATTATTATTATTATTATTATTATTATTATTATTATTGACACTTTTCTGGGTGTCAGAGGCAAAAATGGGGCAAAGCAATAAGTGTGCCTTTAACCTTTGTTAAGAAGACCGTACTCCTGCTGTGCAAATTCAGGGGTTTCTTTCTACAGCCCCTGTCTTTTTCTCTTCCCTCTGAGAATGCAAGAGGGACAATCAGAGTTCAAGGAAGTGAGAGGAGTGGCTTGGGAAGGAGGGGCATGGCTTGGGGTGAGTCCTGAGGGCCAGATAGAGAAACTTGGAGGGCCACATTCAGAGTCTGAGGTTCTCCACTCATGACCTAAGGCTGACAACTATGGATTTTTTGGGGGGGTGGACAGAGAGAGAAAAGAATGAAGGGTGGAGGTAAGGAACTTGGCCTCACTCTTCTGGTAAAGAGCCCAAAAGCATCAACACAACAAAATGAACCAGCCTGGCCAGTTTCTTCCCTAGCCAGTTGGCAACCAGTCTTGGCATTCACCTTCCACTCTCGTTATCCATTCTTCCCCTAACACTGCCAAGCTCCTTTTCTCTCAGAGATGGGAAACCTGCGGCCCTCCAGATGTTTGGGGTCTACAACTCCCATCAGCCCCAGCCAATGTGGCCAACATTTAGGGGAATGTGGGAATCGCCTTCCATGAACATCTGGGGGACCCAGAGTTGAAGAACTTTATGCTCAGACAGATATCACCAACCAGGTACCCTCCAAACATTCTGGACAATAGCTGTCATCAGACTCCAGCATATGTGAGAGTTAATGGTGTGTCATTTCCAGTTACAGAGAGACCCTGAGACTGAACCATAATTTTGAGTAGGGCCACTAACTTGTATCCAGATACTCAGAATAGACCCATTAAAATGGATAGATCTAGGATCTGCTCTGTGTATGCCTAGGATTCGACACAGCCCATAATCTTCCAAATATTATCAAACCAAATTTGAACGAAAGCTTGTTTTTCTCTCATTCTCTTGCTCTCACTCTTGCTCTTTCTGATACACACACAGAGAGAGAGTTCCTGGAAATCTGCATTTATTTATGTGGTTTAAAAGAAGAAAGATTCTTCTAGATCTGTCAGCAGCCTTCGACATGGTTGATCACGAACTCCTGGACCACCGCCTTGCCGACGTGGGGATTCAGGGCACAGTCCTTCAATGGCTGCGCTCGTTTCTCTCCGGTCGGGGACAGAGGGTGGCGCTTGGGGGGGAATTGTCATCCCGCCACTCCTTGGTGTGTGGAGTGCCTCAGGGTGCGATACTCTCCCCGATGCTCTTTAACATCTTTATGCGCCCCCTCGCCCAGCTTCTCCGGAGTTTTGGGCTGGGTTGCCATCAGTATGCCGATGACACCCAACTCTATCTGTTGATGGATGGCCATCCTGACTCGGCCCCAGACACACTGACCAGATGTTTGGAAGCTGTGGCTGGATGGTTACGCGGAAGCCGGTTGAAGTTAAATCCTTCGAAGACAGAGGTCCTCTGGCTGGGACGGGACGATATGGGATTGGGGGCAACTCCCATCTCTTGAGGGGGGTGCAATTAGTGAGAGCACGGTCCGTTAAGAGTTGGGGTGTAATCTTCGATACCTCGCGCGCTATGGAGGCGCAGATTTCAGCGAGAACAAAGGCGGCATTTTTTCATCTCCGCCAAGCTAAGCAGTTGGCCCCTCATCTCTCTCGCCCTGACCTAGCCACTGTGATCCACGCGACGGTCACCTCCAGACTGGATTATTGTAACTCGCTCTACGTGGGGCTGCCCTTGAGACTGACCCAGAAACTCCAGCGGGTGCAGAATGCCGCGGCGAGACTCCTTATGGGGTCTTCGCTGCGAGATCACATTCATCCGGTACTATACCAGCTGCACTGGCTCCCGGTGGAGTACAGGATCAGCTTTAAGGTGCTGGTTTTAACCTTTAAAGCCCTATACGGCCTAGGACCCTCGTACCTACGGGACCGCCTCTCCTGGTATGCCCCACAGAGGAACCTACGGTCTGCAAATAAAAACATCCTGAAGGTCCCAGGCCTCAGAGAGGCTAGGCTGGCCTCAACTAGAGCCAGGGCTTTCTCGGCTGCGGCTCCAATCTGGTGGAACGCTCTGTCACAAGAGACTAGGGCCCTGCGGGACCTGACATCTTTCCGCAAGGCCTGCAAGACAGAGTTGTTCCACCAGGCCTTTGGTCAGGGCCCAGCCTGACTCCCACCTCCGGCAACCTACACAGAACTTTGCTCAACGGTTGCCATTAATTTGATTTTAATTAATTTTTATAATGAAATGTTTTAGAATGTTGGACTATTTAATTGTTTGATTATTTATTTGTTGTTAGCCGCCCTGAGCCTGGCTTTGGCTGGGGAGGGCGGGATATAAATAAAATTTATTATTATTATTATTATTATTAAAGTCTGCTCAGGTTTTATGTACATGTGCTGGCCCTCACTGCTGGATAAATAACTTGTTTCTGCCCAACTCTTTAATGCATAAATCGGAGCGATATATAAGCAAGGCACAGCAGGTGAATCGCACAGCTAAGCAAGAACTGACACTTTGATCCAACAAGTGCCATTCCCCCTGCCTCATGCCTTTGAAGAGTGGGGTGAACATAGGCCTTAGCATGGAGAACAACAGGCATCCCTGCACTGGGAAAGCAAACAGGCGCTTCTGCAAGTGGGCTGGGCCTGTGAGGTTTGTGCAAGTCAGAGCTGGCATCTCTTGTGTCCTTGGAGATAGATCTGACTTACTCTCAGGCACTTCACCCAGATGAGGTTCCTTACTGACCAGAGGGGCTGGCAGCTGCCTGATGAGACTTGTCCAGTATCACAGGGGGCTGGACACATCTCTGACAACCCACTGGAACCGCCCCCATGTTCCAGCTCCGGATTCCCTTGATTACTGACCCTCTGAGTCACCTCCAACATTTCTTGAGGCCCCAATTTCTCCCCCCTCATCTCTCCCCTGGGCCATCTTGCTCCAACTCCCTGATCCCTTCCCCCACCTTTTGGGATGTGCTCATCCCCTCCATGACATCTCCATGGGGATCGTGACAGTATGTGTCTTCCTGAAAGTAAATGCAGACTCTGCTGTCATGGAGCGCACCAGCTTGCCATGTGGATCAAGGAGCCATTGTCCATCCAGAAGATAAAATGCACAAAACTGCCTTGACTTGGGTCAGAACTTGCTTCATCTAGCTGAGTAATGCCTACTCTGATTGGCAGCAGCAACAAATCCATTTACCAAGCTCAACAAATCCATTTACCAAAACAACAACAACACACTAACCCTGACTTTTTGCTATTAGGACAGTGATAGGAGAAAGTGGGGTCAATGAATGACTGATACATAAACACTGCACAAAGAAATCAGGGGTAACGTTCATTGATGTGTAACCGCCCAGTAGACAAATCAGCACAAATGCTCGGTAAAGACCAAACACTGTCTAACATCCACATAAAGCTTTGTGCAAGCAAATCAGGCCGAACACCATTTACTTGAACCTTGTGCATTAGCGTGTTTGAAAACCACATCGTTCTAACCCCTTCTTCTCAAGAAAATGGAAGCAAAGAGCAAATTTTTACAACCACAGCTTTCAAAAGCACTCAGTTCTTCTCCATTACTCTGCTTTAAGGTGAAGCTGAGTGCCCAATGGGAGGGCTGCCACTTTCCTGCCTCCCATCATGGATGGGGAAATACTGCTGGGTGGGGGGGACCTTTCAGTCCAATCCAGTAAGGCTCCCCTTTTGTGTTCTTAGTTGGCTGGTGAGAAATGCATAAACAGACATCAATTCCTTATGTGCCTGTAGGCATATCCTCATGCAGTAAGCGCTAAGAAAAGCCTGATGGATTGTGCCATTGCTGCCTTCTGCAGGAGCGGATTTCGTAGTTTTAACTTCATGCACTGCTCCCTTTGGTCTGTCCTGAATCTTCCAACCTCCGGCTTCACCAGTTCTAGTGCTGAGAGAGGAAAAGACTCCTCCCCTTTCTCCATGCCGTGCATAATTTTATATATTTCTATCATGTGGCATTTTCCCCACCTTGGGATAAGGAAAGACCTCTGAGCCCTGTCAAAATCTGGAGACCACATTTGACCTCTCCAGTCCCTCAGCATAGAGCAAAGGGTCCCAGCACATTTTCTATCAAATCATCCAAACAGCCTCAAACTTTGATGTAAGGTTTTTGTGTTTTGTTTTTAGATTGATTGATTGATTCATTCATTCATTCATTTTAAAAAACACTTCCCTTCTGAATTACCAGGGGGAAGGAAGTACAGTGGTACCTCGGGTTAAGTACTTAATTCGTTCTGGAGGTCTGTTCTTAACCTGAAACTGTTCTTAACCTGAAGCACCACTTTAGCTAATGGGGCCTCCCGCTGCTGCCACCACGCGATTTCTGTTCTCATCCTGAAGCAAAGTTCTTAACCCGAGGTACTATTTCTGGGTTAGCGGAGTGTGTAACCTGAAGCGTATGTAACCCGAGATACCACTGTATTCCAAAACTCTTGGTCCTGCTTGTGGGTTTCCCACAGATATCTGGCTGTGAGAATATGATGCTGGTCTAGATGAGAGATTGGCCTGTGGATTTGGGGTATTTCCCAAATTTTAGCACAATGCTTTGAATAAAGGGCTAAAGAATCCTGGCACATTGAAATCAATGGCCATGACTAACTTAAGTCTATTAATTTCAATGGGCCTACTCTGGGTAAAATTTAGTTGGAGTACAACCCAGTCTCTATACTTTAGACACACACAGAGTTGCAGAACATCACACTTTTGAGTTCCAAAACCAGTATTCAAAGTTCAGAATTGACATTTGCTACTGAAATTCCATGGTTTTGGTTTTGGTTAAATTGAAGAAAACTGGTATATTAAAAGCACACTCAATCATTTTTCAAATCTCCTATCCAATCCTGTCAAATACTGACGGATACTGCATGTCGCCTATCAAACAATGATGGCTTCGCGTCAGATTCTGTCAGATACTGCTGCTACTGCACACTGAGCCATCAAATGTGATCAAAAATTGGCAAAGTCTCACTGAGATCTTATTTCTGCTAATTTCCATGTTGACACAGATAGGCTCGGCTGCAGGTCCATTTATCTCTCACACACTCCCAGAGCTAGACAAAACACCTAACTAGCAACAGGTGAACATGTCAATTTCAGTGTCCCTAAATCAACTTCAGGACTTGTTTTCCCAGTCTTAAATGTAGTTATCCACATTTTTACATTAGTTTTTGGATTTATTTTTTTAACATCCTCAGGAAAATCCATCAGCATTTTAACATGAATTTCTCTGAATAGATACATTTTGCAAAGCTGTTTCCCCTAATAGAATGCATTTTAAAAAAAATAACAATAATGCGTTTTTGTGTGTTATTTCCACTAATATTATATATATATATATATATATATATATGTGTGTGTGTGTGTGTGTGTGTGTTTGTGTGTGTACACACACACACACACACACACACACACGGTTTTTGTGGACGTGGGTGGCGCTGTGGGTAAAATCTCAGTGCTAGGACTTGCTGACCGTAAGGTCGGCGGTTCGAATCCCCGCGGCGGGGTGAGCTCCTGTCGTTCAGTCCCAGCTCCTGCCCATCTAGCAGTTTGAAAGCACCCTTAAGTGCAAGTAGATAAATAGGTACCGCTTTACAGCGGGAAGGTAAACGGCGTTTCCGTGTGCTGCGCTGGTGCTGGCTCGCCAGCTGCAGCTTCGTCACGCTGGCCACGTGACCCGGAAGTGTCTTCGGCCGGCGCCGGCTCACGGCCTCTAGAGCGAGATGAGCGCCGCAACCCCAGAGTCGGACACGACTGGCCCGTACGGGCGGGGTACCTTTACCTTTTTTTTACATGCTACTTGGCTGGAGAATTGCATTGCAAAACTTAACTTTAAAGGATGGCTATGTGCTCACTTGCTGTTTCAGAAAGTCTAGATTATGCAAGTTTGCCTTTAAATGTAAACTGAATAAAAATTCTTCCCTTTCCCTATCTCTCCCAAATGTGTGTGTGTGATTGTAAAGAAAGGAAACTGTCTATTGTCCCTGCCACTCTGGTTCCAGATGCTCACCCTGTTTTGTCACTGTCCAGAGTTGTCTGCTTACCTAAAACATACCAGGTCTGGAGCCCCCCCCTTCCCACCCCCAACTATTAAGTTGTTCCATACACTTTACAATGGCCATAACCTTTTTGACTGTCAGGCTTCGCTACAAGTTAACCATTGCAATAATCAGGTACTTAGCGTTCAGGATAACAAGCTAAGATTTGTGACTTATTAGCAGTAAAAAGTGGGGGTGGGGGGAGAGTGCTCACTACTTGTTCCATTTAAGGGTTTTGTTTTGTTTTGTTTAAAGTCATTTAAAATGTTTGATGCAAACCAGGAATTTCATATGGAGTCACTTTATTCTGATATTTTGCTGCTGCACAAAGCATGTTGGACTGTTTGTTTTGATTTGTGATGTTAAATAAAGCCTTTCCAAATAAAGGTAAGAAAGGAATAGAACGCAGAACTGAGCAGGGACAGAATACAGCTCTTTCTCTTCATTCCTAGTCCTCATGGCCGTTAAGATATACATGAAAATTAAATCTCAGAAACCCGAGTCAGAACACTGATCCATCTAGTTTAGTATTGCCTTGTCCCACCGGCAGTAGTTCTCTAGGTTTTCAGTTGCGGTGTCTTTCGTTTGTAAAATCATTATCTAAAATTATGCCAAAGAAGGGACCTTGAGCACTTTGGCCCCTAGACACATTTAGCTGATGTGAGATATTTTGAAGAAGAGCCATTTGCCAAGTATTGGAATACCAACAGTCCCGATTATTGAGATCAAAAGTCTTCCAAAACTTAGCAATTGCAGCCCAGGCCACTATCAAAAGATGAGAGGTCAGTTCTTGTTCTTCGGGCTTTGATCCATATCTACCAAAAAAAGAATTTCTTCATAATAATAATAATCTATTTATATGATTTTAATAGATTTTATATATCACATTGTTTTAATTCTAACAATGTTTAATTGTTTTAAAATGATTCTCCCCCCTACGTTTTTAGCTGTTCTTGATTTTATCTGTAAGTTGTTTTGAGTCCCGCCAGGGAAAAGGGTAGGGTATAAATATATAATAACAACAACAACAACAACAACAGGGATTGAACCTGGGATCTTCTGTATAATAGGCAGATGTTCTAACATTGAGCTATGGCCATTCCTAACGTGATGGGGCATTTCAGCCCAGACCTAAGATTTAAGGACAGTGTGAATGGGTGTGGGTGTGTAAAGGACAGCATTAGGGGGGGAAACAGAATTTGGAAGTGTGTTGAAGTGTGGTAACACTATTCTTGCCTGCAGGATGACGCAAATAACAGAGCCCTGCAACTGGTTGCACACCAAGGTGGCAGCTGAAGCTCCCACAGTGCACCAATGGCTGTCTCCCTAGCAGCCAAGAACAGAACAAGGCAATGTGTGACGTGCCTAGTGCATCTGATTCTGCCTTAAAGGAAGAGAAAACCGGTTTGCCTGCTGCTGAAACAAACGTACAAAAAAAAAAAAGTACTTTAAAAGATGCAACAGTGTACGACACATCTCTCCCAGGGTTAGAGAGGATGCTGCAGTGAAGTAGACATCTTCACATTTCTTCTAACCACCACGCCAAGAGGCAGCCACAGATGTCCACTACATGATCAGGTTAAAAATGTCTTGGTGATGGAGCAGCGATGACAGCATATGGTTCATGGTGCACTGCGGTTTTGAATGCTCTAGAGAGCACTGTGGTGGGACCTGCCTAAAGGGTGAGGATTTGTGGTGTAAGGATGCTCAAGAAAATGGATGGGTTTTATTGTGGAAAGGGACAGAAAAAGAGTTCCACACACCACTCACCCTCTGCCAGAAGAATTTAAAGCCCACAGAATAATTTAAAGGGACATAAAGGCATCCCTCCACTGCACTTTACAACAAAAACTATGGATAGGAGACAACTGATTATTATTTGAGATATATGTACCGTCTTTTTTGCACCATAACACTCACTTTTTTCCTCCTAGAAAGTAAGGGGAAATGTCTGTGCGTGTTATGGAGCGAATGCCTGCGGGTGGCGGGGGGGATCTGCTGCAGTCGTGAGCAGAGGATCCATGGTTCCCCTTCCTTCCCTCCTCCGTGGATTACAAAGCATGGATCCACATGGATCCTCAGGATTTTGCATTGGGCTACTCCAAACTCACTGTCAGATCACATGTCTGTGGCCACAGCATGAACCACAAAAATCATATATCCACTATTTTGTTTAGAATATTTTTTTTCTTGTTTTCCTCCTCTAAAAACTACGTGCGTATTATGGTCTGGTGCGTGTTATAGAGCGAAAAATACGGTACATCTATATAAAATATTTCTGTATGCAGACGATACACCAAAATCATGGGTTGTATCCATTATTAATCTTCCTGAGCTGGCCTACTGAAATTATTAAACAGGACTAAGTGGGTGCCCACCTTGAGTAAAACTTAGCTGGAGACCATCCATTATGCATAGAAAATGAGGATTTTGCCACCTGTATTTTCTGCCTAATTTACTGTGCTTTTTCTAGCGGTGAGGGCTGGTTGCAATGGACACTCTAGACCATCCACATCTACATTTAAAACAGGATCATGCCTTACAGGCGTCCCACACAAAGAATACTGGGAACTGTTAAGAGTGCTCAGAGTTGTTGGAGACCCCCTCTTCTTCTCACAGAACTGCAATTTTCAGTGTTCCCTGGGCAGAGGGCTTGACTGTTAAACTACTCCTAAAGTCAGGTTTGAGTTGAGATGTCCTCAACCTTCTTCTAGTGCTTTCACTTGCAACTGTCCAGAGGCCACACACACACCCTCTTCAGCCCATACTTTGCCTCCACCCCCTTGAGTTGGCTGACATCTGTCCTTGAACTCTTATAATGCATCCTGTTTGACTGGATGGAGGATGGAGAGGAGTGAATTGAGTGTGTGTAGAATCTAGTCCACTGTAAAAATGGAAGAATTTACTTTTGTTTCTCTGCCTCCTTTTTGTCCTTCATTCCGCCCACAATTGGCATGTGCCCCCCCCCCCGGAAGGTTGCCTAGATGGGAATGCATCCCTTGAGCTGAAAAAGGTTCCTCACCCCTAGCATATCCTCCAATGTTTCTCCAATGAAAATAGGGATGTCTCATTCCATAACATTTTTTTTTTTTTTTAGTATTTATACCCCACACATCTCACTAGGTTGCCCCAGCCACTCTGGGCAGCTTCCAACATATATAAAAACCTAATATAACATTTAACATTTAAAAACTTCCCTATACAGAATTGCCCTTGGACGGCTCGGGGGTCAGAGAACTCCATGCCCTCCAACATTTCTCCAATGAAAATAGGGACGTCCTAAGGGAAAGTGGGACATTCCGGGATCAAGTCAGAAACTGGGACGGTTTCTCTAATTCGGGGGTGTCCCTGGAAAATGGGGACACTTGGAGGGTCTGCCCCAGCATAATAGATAGAGAGAAGAAAGGAGGTGTCATCTCTCTGAAGAACAACCTCCAGTCAAGGGCCAACAGTTCCTGGCCATTCTTTTAAAGCCTGATCTCCATTGCTGCAGAAAGGGAGGGCCAAGCAAAAACAATTTTCGTGTGTGTGTGTGTGTGTGTGTGTATAAAAATGAGCTTAGTAAGCAACAGCTATCTTCATAACAGTTAATAAAGGGAGGCCTTTAAGCACTAAGTAGGAAATTATACCTACTGTCTCTCTGCTAGGTTAAAGCTTTGGCTCCTTTAATTATGTATGCCCTATTTTTATTTAACGGGTGTTGTGTGGGGAGGGGGAGGGGGAGAATAATCAAAGCCTACTCTTCTCGAGGTTGCTCCTAGGGCAGATGCAAAATGAACTGGGCAAACAAAATGATGCACCATAATCATGTGAAAATGCTCAGATAATGGCACCTGAACATCACACTCAGATAACGAAAATATGTGCCCCCGGCCATTCAGATGCACTGCACATGCTACTGTCGGGAGAAGATGTGAAATACCAAAACCACTTCATTTTAAATGTCGGGTGTCTCTCCCCACCCCAAAATATATTAAATGGCTACGCAAGGATCACAGCATTAGTCATACTCAGAGCAGACCCACTGAAATTGATAAGCATGACTGGCTTAGGTTCACTGATTTTAATGGGTCTACTCTGAGCAGGTTAGTTGGCTGCAAGCCCATGACTGCAGATGAGATCTGATTCTTATGCTGTGATAGTCACCTGATGACCATTCACTCCTGGCTTTCTTCTGTTTGAGATCAGGGCCCAATGAATGGAGGATTTGCTTCAGGGTGGATGGGGAGGGGGAGAGTTTTGATTTGATTTGCATTTAAAGGCAAACCTCCTTGATTCTAACTTTCCAGAATAATAAGTGGACTGAAAGGCAGCCATCCTTTGAAATCCACACTCCTCTGAAATCCACTCTCCTCTGAAATTGCAAATGTTAAGGCAAAGTATATATCAAAACACACACATCATTGATAATGGATAAAAGAAAACTACTTTGCAGAAATGTTTGTATTAGTCTAAATGGCATTCAAACCAGGAAAAAGAACCTGTAAAATGCCATTGAATTTTCAAGCAGACTTTTTAAAAAAAGGATTCTCAAACTGTGATGGAAAGGTGAAGAACTGGGAGGATAACTGGAAAATTATGAAACTGAGAGAAACCAAAATTGACAATTTTTCCAGTTCTAGGGACAGGGTGGCCATATGTCCTAAGTTACAAGGGACAGCCCTCTGTTTGAAGGGCTATCTGGTCCAAGTCCTTTATAAGAGATAAAAACACCTAAGAGGGGAGAGTATCAGGGACCTTTGAAGTCACCCCTCAGGAGTGAGCACCTGGACAGCAGACTGAACAAGCACATAGGCTACTTGGTCACAACCTTCCCCCAAAAGGTGATATGTACTGCCTTTCTATTTAAATCATACTCCTTCTTTCCAAATTTCTATATCTACATATAAATGGACATATGCAAATATTACACAATATTACACAATAATGCAAATTGGTGTCCTTAAAAAAAAAAAAAATCCTCTGTTATCTGGTGATACACAGCAGTCCACTCCCTTCCTTGAAATGTTCAAGATCCAGCTGCAATCAACAAAATTGCTAGTCCTTTTATAGCAATGGTGTAGCAGTGCTGGGCTGTAGGGTTTCAAGGACCTGTTAGGCATTGGAATATGTGTCGTGTGTTGGTGGGCGGGGTGTGGCCATCACCTACCCCTCCCCTTTTTGGGTATTCTGTTAAAGGAATCCAGCGGTCATGGATCCTGTCCAATGCCCTGCTGGTGGCCATGGCACGACCCCCGGTGACATCAGGGGAAGCTTCCAGTTGTATTTGCATCAACAAGCTCCTCCCACTGGTTGTTAACCTTATAAAAAGGTTAACAACCTTGCTGTGCAGGGTGGGGTCAAATGTAGGTTGTTTGATCCAGTGCCTAAGCCAATACCACTCACATGGTGTAACCAATAAAGCTGTGGCCTTCTTTAGCCCATTAACCTAAAATAGATGTGTCCTTGTGTCTTATTTTACCACTATACGGGTGCAGGGTCCTCAACTCACAACTTTTTGTAGGAAGGTCTCTGTCTCCAGCATCCTAGAGCACGAAAGGGGAGCTTTTTAGCCACTGAGAGATCTCCCTTCACTTCATGCTGATTGGAGAGAATCAGAGTGAAAGAAGGTGAGTCAGCCACAGAGGATTGGCTCCTAGGGTCACTCTGGAGAAGATGAACAGGAAGAACACCAAGTTGTTGTTGTTCTATCTGCTCCCAAGCCAAGCATTTAAGAACACAGTACTGAAAACACAAGGTGCTTCAGTTTCAAGAGAACAGTGTACAAGTTCTGTGACATTCACTAGAACTTCATGGAAAACACAAGTCACTCCGAAAGAAGGTACTGGAACATTCAAAATCATTTGCCCACATATGTGCACATAAAATATATCGAGCTGACAGACAGCACATGGAGAACTGCTTGATTATTTCATTGCATCCATAATTATTATAATTGTATAACCTTAACAGGTTGTATGACATTGAAAGAGGTGTGGCTGTGACTATCACAAAGGGACCTTGCACTTCTGAATTTCCCATTACATTATTGGGCATTAGAAGGTCTTCTACTTTTAAACCAAATATGAAACACCACAATGAAATTAGCTTTAAGTATGTTT